GACCTCCTGAATCCGCAGGTCATATGAAGGACTTTCCTGTGTTATATTTTTGTGTATTTTGATCCCTGCCCTTAAGATATTCACAGTCTGGTTACAATGACAATGATCTTTTCCTGAATGTTCCATTAAGTCATGCCTGAAATGCCACAGGATTCCAATAATGTCTTTTTGGAAATGTTCAGTTTTGTGAGAAGAGTACAATTTATACAGGATACAAATTTTTGATACCTTTTTTTCTTAATATTCCATTTGCCTGCCAGAACATGAGGGCAATTTGGTTAAACACAAAATAGTAACTTCTTATAAACCGTGAAAGAAACTCTTTGCAACTCTAGGCCCTCCCCTGGGGAACATCAGTTGCTCCCTCTCACTGTCTTCCCACGACAGCCTCTGGCTATCCAGGACCTGTGGTTCTCTTACTGAAGACATTGAAATGAACCAGGTATTGTTGTGCACGCTTGTACTCCCAGCTATCTGGGAGGTTGGGGCAGGAGAATTGCAAATTGGAGGCCTGCCTGAGTAACCTAGACCTTGTCTCAAAAAATTTTATATATATATATATATATATATATATATATGTATGTATTTTTAAAAGGGCTGAGGGTATAGTCCTGTAGTAAAGCACTTGACTAAGAACATGTGAGCCCCTGGATTTCATTCCCAGTACTAGGGGGGGAAAAAAGAAAAGAAAGAAAGAAAAAAATAGGTAATCAGTTTTTTTTTTTCTCCCCTGACTGTGTGTTTCTGGAGAGTGCAGAATGACTTTTTATTTATGCTCAATAACATGCTAAATTTAGTTTCACCTGTGTTAAACCCTTGAACTTCCCTGTAGTTTGCTAGTATGATATCTTTTTGTCCACTAATGCACAAACTCCAGGTTTCTGGCTCTGCATTCTCCATCACTAGGCTTTATAATAAATAAATGGCATGGCAGAATCTGGGGAGTAAGAAAAATTATTCATGAACAGATGCCAAACATCCACTCCTGAGATCCAAAGAAGTAACCAGGAGAGACAGATCTACAGGAGATAGCACTGGCATCCTGGCTGGGACTGCGAGTCCTGATGAATCACAGTCTCTGAGACAGACATGGGGAATGGGGATGTAGTTCAGTGGTGGAGAACTTGCCTTGCATGCTCAAGGCCCTGGGCTCCATCCCCAGCGGAGAGGCAGGTGTGATTGCATTGAATTTCTATTTAGTTTGTATGCCCTGTCTTCTATACAACTCAGGATGGGAAGTGCAAGCCCCCTTGTGTGCCACTCAGGTTAGATATGCTGCAAATAAAGCCTCGGTTATTTAGTCCTTTGAGGAGTCCGGATGTGCATGCACTTGTAGGTGCAGCCAGGGAAGGTCCATTTTGGGTGAGGAGGGGGCCACAGGGAGCACTTTCAGGCTGCAGGGTTGAGGATGTCATTGTCTCACTGAGACTTCCTCTGTGGATATTCCAAGAATCAAATAAAATCCATGATTTTTTAAAGAACAAAACAGAATTCCTACCATCACACCAAATCAGTCAGTGCAGTTGAATGCTCTTTAAGAAGTAAAGATTCTTGCAGTGTTTGGTTTCTGGTGACTCAGACGTTTTTAACCAAGGAAATAGAAGAGACAAATCCACTGTGGGAGAGATAACTAAGTGGTCTGAGTCTCAAGTTGGAAATGGGGACACTTCCTAGAACCCGGAAGTTCAAGTTGGAGCCACACTGATTTACCCTTTCACCTTTTTTTAGATAAAATGAGTTGCACTTGGTCTTTCTCTTGGGAGCGTCTTTTGGGCAAGAGGCTAACCACCCTAGGTTTGCCTGCTCTGTTTAGGACATTATAGAGTTCCTGAGGCATTTTTTTTCCCTCTTTCTACTAAAAAGTGGTTTGCTGTAATTTGTTTGGCCCCAAATTCTGGTACTCAGCTGAAATGTTGGGAAAACAGAGAACTGGCTTGCCTTAGAGTGTATTAGGCACTTAATAAAACACAGATGACTGAGAGACCTCTTTCAGCTTCTCTGGTGCATCCTTGAGACTGGGAGGAAAAAGAAATAAAGGATGGGGTGAGAAATTTCAAGACGATTCTTTAAAAGGAGGATTTAGCCATATGTCTAGAAAAATCGCTCTTGGAATTTTCTAACCTGTAAGTGCTGATAATGGAAGACATAGATTCCAGTTTTTCTGAGAAATCAAAACAACAACAGCTCCAGTGCTTTTGTTTGTAAGGAAAGGAAGCAAACAAGGGATGTACAAGTGATTCTTGGATATATTAAAAAAAAATCATTCCTGCTTTAAGAGAATTTTAAATCTAAAGAATGAGACTACTAAATATTCAGGTTAAAGTAATTCGAAAAGTAAACTAAAGGACAGAGCTCACATAGAAATGTACCCTAACAAAATTCAAGGATTTAAAAAATTCTCTGAATTGTCAAGCAGAAAATTTGGATTATGTGCAAAGGAATAAAGTAATTCCTTTCTCCATAGTAATACTTAACACTAAGAGATAATCATGAAATTCTTTGAGAATTTGGAGTGGTAACAGGCAATCCTCAAATACTCTATCACACGGGGTATCTCATGAACAGATTTTTCTCAGATGTAAAAGTATGAAGTATATAAACTATTTGGTGAAACTTTTGATAAAACAACTTACTCTGTGGATATCTGAGGCAAGTGAAATTGACAGAAAAACATAGTATGAAAGCTGATAATGGGAATTGAAACCAGGTGCTTTTACCATCTAATACTGATGAGAGTAGGAACTTGGTAAATTCTTTGTATTTTGACATATGTGTATGTTTTTTTTTAAGAGAGAGAGAGAAAGAGAGAGAGAGAAAGAGAGAGAGAGAGAGAGAGAGAGAGAGAGAGAATGAGAATTTTTTAAATGTTTATTTTTAGTTTTTGGCGGACACAACATCTTTGTATGTGGTGCTGAGGATCGAACCCGGGCCGCACACATGCCAGGCGAGTGTGCTACCGCTTGAGCCACATCCCCAGCCCTGTGTATGTTTATATACACAGATATATATATATATATATATATATATATATATATATATATATATATATATATATATATATATATATTATATATATATAATATATAATATATTATATATAGTATATAATATAGTATATATAGTATATAATATATTCTATATAATATATATAATATATAATATAATATATATACACACACACAAATACACATACACATATGTATATTTCATATTATTGAAGATGCATTTTATTCAACAAGAATACAGAATGCATACATCTTAATACGTATACATATGCAAAAGCCAAACTGAATACTTTTTAAGCATAAATTTTAAAAACATGTGGAAATTCACATGCCCATGCATCTGTCTGCCTTTGGGAATCACCAGGGCATTCATGTGAAGCCATGGGTGTCCCAAACAGCTCCCAGCCAAGACGGTGCAGTACGGGTGTAGAGTGGCCATTTCAGCCCAGCTCAGGTAACTTGGCTCTGGGCCCCCCACTGACTGGCTCAGATGGGCCCTAGGCCACATTGCAGTCGGAGGCTCTTCCTATCCAGTCGTTCCTTGCCCCCTTTCTTTCCTAGGCTTAGTCCCATGTCTTTCCCCGCTTCATCTCCCCTTAGCTTTTGTGCCATCAGTCTTCTCTTCACCTCCATCTTGGTGAGTGCCTCTTGGAGGCCCTGAACTGATACAGCATGCTTGTGTTAGCTTGTGGTGGACTGGTAGATGTCGAAACTTGAGGTATACTGAATTATCGTTTTTTTTTTTTTCAAGAGTGGATTCAGAAGTTAAAGAAAACAACAAAACCATTAAAAGGGGTTTAGTGTAGGAAGTATGAGGCGAGTTCACAAGGACATGATCAAGCGTATTGTGAATGTATTGGATTCTAACACAAAATCCAGCTACTCACTCCTTCTATAAGGCTCCCAAGAGAGTTTAGAAAAGGAACAATGAAAACTCTGGTTGGAGGCTTTAATAAGCACACTCCAAAGAGAACAGGACAGTAAGTTTCAGAACAAGATGGTGAATGATAATGAAAGGGATGGGAAATTTAAAATGACTATTGGAAATGTTTTCAGAAGCTCATATATAAAGGAAATGAAATGTTCTAAAATTCCGGAGTATAGTCCCTGATGGTTTAGAAATTTTGAAACTGGAGTCTTACAGTGGTACTTGGTGGGGCCCAGTATAACTATACGCATTGATAAATTATTGGGAAAAGTCTGTGTTAGCAAATAATATCCAGTGACAATCCCTCCCTTTCCTGACACCACCCTCTCAGTGACTCCTTTCCAGAATCTCTGTGCTTCTACAATCTAGAAACCAAAGATTCAATGCCCATTGCAGAATCCTGTTCTAGGGTCAGCATGCATTCTGACTGGTCAGTGCTTGTGCTTCCCAGTTGTTCAATGTCTTAAATATCTCCCTGAGTGTGTCCCGCTTCACCTGCAATGTGTAAGCACTTCCAGGGAGATATGCAAAGGCAAGGTCACCTAGCTAAAATCCATCAGTTACGCTGTGGAAGGAGCTTCAATTCTCATGGGTGATGATGAAAACCCACCACTCAGATTAGAGTGGCCACTATGTAAAGCCATGTCTACTCATTCATCCTAGGTGCTTGAAGAGTGGGGAGAGACATTTAAAGAGAGATTGCTTTCCCATTTCTTAGAAATGCAATTATTTCTTCCTCTGCAGGTGATTTATACTAACTGCTCCCCAACAAATTAGTCTTCTGCAGTTGTGTTTTGAACCGTCCATTTATCTAATCTTTACCTTTCTAGAAGAGTGCAAATGATTTATAAAGATGGAGCAATTATGAAACAGGTTGTTTGTAAATAAAATGCTAAAGCCAGCAAGGTGCAGAGGTTAGGGCCCCAGCCAGTCAGGTGACATTTAAATCAATTCAAATGCTTGCAACATTCTTCCAGACCCTACTGAATGATCTTCCTCTCTCTGCTCTCTCCCTTCCTCCCTCTGCCTCCTCCCTTCCCCTCTCTTTCTCTCTACCATCACTGCAGCTGGTAGCATAGGAGTTCAAGATAGCAGAGCTGCAGGGCAGCGGTATCCAGAGGTATCCAGGTCCCTGATCTATTGGAAGGAGAGCTGTGCACTTTGCTGAGGTGAGAGGAAAATCTTTGTTGGGCTGAGCCATTGGTATTTGGAAGTTACTTCTTCAATTCTTATTGGTTACTCTCATACAGTCTTTAAGTATTTACTTAATCTTTCTGTTAATAGTCATGAAGAAATAAAACTTATAAATATTCTCTCTCTCTCTCTCTCTCTCTCTCTCTCTCTCTCTCTCTCTCTCTCTCTCAGATCCTGGTCCTGTGTATGGTAGTCAAGTGTACTACAACTGAGTCACATTCCCAGCCCCTCATTTTAATTTAAATTGTACTGCTTCTCTATAGGACCATGGCAAAATTTCATTGCCAACACCTTCATTTTGAGAAATATAAGAATTACTTGGTTCTTTTGGGTGAAATAATTCTAATTTGATACAAATTTTGATAGATCCAATTCTCACTGTAGAATAACACTATCCACCAGAGATTTGAGAATTCAGAAAACAAGTTGGTTGTAAAACAAAAAAGTTAGCAATGAAGATTAATAAGTACCAATTCTTTTTTTTCCTGGTATGTATTTTATAGACAGTTTTACTACGTGAATATATTTATGTATTTATTATGTGAAGATATTTAATAGACAGTTTTAGGCCACTTATCACTAAATATTTAAAGAAAGAGAGAAATTTACTTAGTGGCATAGGGAGATTTTCCCAAGTTGATTAATTCTGTGGAAAGAAAAATACTACAGCATTCCCTAAATCTTTACTTTCTGTAAAATATTTCTTTCTTTCATTCTTTCCTTCTTTCTTTCTTTTTTAAATGAAATAGACAATGCTTTTGCTGGTCTCTCAGGTAAAGGCCAAAAAAATTAGTCCATGGAAATAACTGTTTTTCTCTTTCTCTGAGGAAAAACATGAGTGCATATAACATTTAAATTCAGCATATTATTATTGTTTGCCAGGGATGTATCATTTCCCCTTAGGAGTTGGCCCAGAACTGGATAATCCTGCAGAATGATCAAAAATTGAGAATGTTAGTTCTGAAGACTTAGGACACCAAGTCACAGGATTGCCATCTCTTCTTGTCCTTGGGAACTCACGGGGCTGCCAGCCCAGCTCTTCCTCTCAAGTGGGGTTGCGTCTCCAGGGTGGCTTCTGTAGGTTGTCCCTCTTCTATTGGTTTTATTTAGAAACACGTCCAGTGGCTTCACCCTCCTCATCCTGGTGCACTGGGCTGGATTAACACCTGCACTATTTTGGTCAAGATAAGTACCCTTGCTCATCTCTGTCTACAGTTCCATGCTAGATGGGGCCTTTCAAGTTGCTCTGGCAGAACTTGGTAGGAAGCAAATATTCTTTCAGTGAATTAAGCAATGAACGACTAATTTGATATGTTAAGTCTCAGTGAGGGGAAACCAGAGCTCTGGGATACCCACAGTTCTTGATGAGCAAACAGAAGTGTTCCCATTTGAAGCTTGCTGATTGTGTAACAGCTACTAACTAAATGTAAAGGTCATCTCCCCTTTTGCCCTAACATTATGATCAAAAACATGCACCCATGCTTTTAAAAATAACTCCTCTGGCACTGAGAGGGGCAGAAGAGAGAAAAAAGAAATGAAAGTAGAGTCATGAGTTTCACTACCCTTCCTGCCAATATATACAAACTCACATCCAAAACATTTCTCATTTACATGCCTGTTTATTTTGTTTTTGTGGCTGTCTAGAAGCTGGGACCTTTCTGTTTTTTTGCTAAATTGAGACAAAGAGATATTAGGATAAACTCCACCCCTATTTAGCTGTGTTCATCCTCACAATGACTTGGTCTTTCTGTCACCACCTGGACAGATGTTTGGATCATCATGAGACTCAGTGCATTTGTGGGTGAATCACTGGAAATTTGGAAGGAATGTTGCAATTTTTTTCATTTTCAAATTTCAGAGTTTTGCTCTAGGAATTGCTAACTTTACCTAGTTTTAAGATTTAAAGTCAATTGTTCTACTGTCTTATAGACCACAGATGTGATGTGAACACTGCTCTGGAGTTCTTGGCTGATTTGTGTGCTGTATAATTCACTCTTCCCCAAGGGCTTTCGTCTGGGTCCAAGGCTCCTGCTGTCCTCACAATATTCTGCCATTGTGTGCTCTCAGTCAGTACAATACCCTCCTTGGCCTTTACTGCCCTTAAAACAAACTGATGCAAATTGTCTGAACCTCAAGACCTGCCCACTTCTGATCTATCTAATGCCATCTTTTGTGACTTTCTCCTTTAAACTGCAGGATCTAACTTTGATTTTAATTTCTCAGGTTGCCCTAAGCCCTCTGTGCTTTCCTTCTGACTATTTCACCCTTTGGAATGAACCATTCCTCGCTCCCTGCTTCTTCCTCATTCTTGACACAGCTACTCCCACGCATCCATCCGGCTCCCTTGGGGAACTGCGGGCCCTGCCTCCCCCATGTAGATCAGGAGCCCTTGAGGATGTTTTCCCTCTTGACAGGTTGATCCCGCTGCGGTAACCATTAGCGTGAGCATTTAATTGCTCAAACCAGGACACTGTTCGGAAAGGGGGAAACTATCAATAATTACTCTGGGACAACACCCATAAATCAAGACTGTCCAGGGAAAACTGGTCTGTCTTGTCAGTGTTTCTAGAATTTCCTGTTGAATTGCATTCTTCCTTCACTGTCTATAGCTTACAGGGAAAGGAGAACCCAATTGGATTTTGTTTTCTGCTTATTTTCTAATTTACGTTTTCTTGGTGCCTAATGCATGATTGGAGCTCAGAAATAGTAACCAATGTTCAAAACAGCAATTGTCCGTAGAAATACGAAAATGGCTATACATAAAAGCAAATCTTGATTAAAAATTATAATAGCAAAATAAAAAAAATAGTATGCATATGTGCCTACTGTCTGTCCGGCAGTGAGCTAGTTACCCTAAGTTGAGGGTGCTGTGGAATAGAAGGTCGAGGAGGTGAGGTTCACATAGAGTAGCAAATGCCAAACCACCAGTGCAGTAGTTAGTTTTCTGTGACATCTTGACTGGATCCTAGGATGCCCAGATTGTGGGGTAAACATCATTTCTGCACGTGTCTATGAGAGGATTTCTAGAAGAGATCAGCATCTTTTTTTTTTTTTTTTGTAAAGAGAGAGATAGAGAGACAGAGAGAGAGAATTTTTTTTTAATATTTATTTTTTAGTTATTGGCAGACACAACATCTTTGTTTGTATGTGGTGCTGAGGATCGAACCTGGGCCGCACGCATGCCAGGCGAGCACGCTACCGCTTGAGCCACATCCCCAGCCTGAGATTAGCATCTGGATTGGTAGACTGAAGTGGGTCACCCTCACCAGTGCGGGTGGTCCTCCTCCAGGTCCAAGGACAGAACAGAATGCAAAGGTGGAGGAAGGCAGGGTGTGCTCTTTGCCTGACTCTGTGGGGACACCTATCTTCCCCTGCTTCTGGTTCTCAGCCTGCAAACAGGAGCTGGGGTTTGTAACACCTCTCTCCTGACCTTCAACTTGGGACTTCTCAACCTTTGTAACTGCATAAGCCAGGGTCTTACAATAGATGCCATTATATAGAAATGTCAGATAGATAAATGGACAGACAGACAGGAGTTATCCTCTGTGGGCTCTGCTTCTGTAACACATAAGCCTCTGGCATGCTTCTCTCACTTCCAAAAGGCTTCGTTCTCACAGCTTCCAGGACTTGTCTGTCTGAACATTCTGCTCCTTTTTGATTTGTCTCTTGAACTGTCCCTAGGGCTCAGTAGCCAATACAGGTCATTGTATTTATATGAGTTATAATTATGCCACAAAAACCAATTCCTCATTTTGGTAGTGTTGCAGGAGATGCTGAGGAAAGGGGAAAAGGAGTTTTTCTGGCCAGGAATTGGTGATGAGGATTAAGCTCTGTTTTTGTAGTTAGAGCGCACACACCCTCACACGACACACACATGCAGCATTGGATGATAAACCTCACCACTCTGACCTTGATTTCTGCTTCCAGCTCTGAGTCCTTGATGTGACAGGGGAGCAGCCGCCTACAAGGACTGATGTTTCTCTTCCTTCTCCTCAACTCCAAGGTCAGCTTCAAGGGACTTGAAGAAATCTGGACAGCACCAATTATGGACCTTCTCTTCCACCTTGATGGCTTATAACCCAGGCTGCTTTCCACATGTGGGGATTCCGTTCTGCTTTCTCTCAGTTTGTGTTGAATGGCAGATGAGCTTTGATCTTAAGATAAAATGTGCTTTTTAAACTTCTCCAACCGCCTTTATCCTGTGCTGTCTATGCATTAGAATGTATTTTTGGTTTTCGGGTCCCTTAATACATCATTTCTTCCCATTGTAGCACGTCATAACCTGATGGGTAGAAAGTATGATTGTCTGGTGCCAAGAACAACCAAACAGGGTTTAAAGTATGAGCCTGATAGTTGCCGGGGCCAGCCAAGTCTGAAACTGAATACAACGGAAATCATAGTGTTTTCCACCCACGGAGGACGTGGGGAGGGAAGGGAGGGGCAGTGGCCTGAGTCCCCCACCGCATCCCACAAGGAAGAATTTGCCATGAGAAGCAGCCTATATAGGGCGATTTTGGTCATTCCATATCAGGGCTTCATAGCTTCTTATGTGAACGCTCATCAATTTCTACTCATGAACGGAATGAAGTACAAAAATTTTCAAGAGTAAATGGAAGTGTTGGGAAGTGCCATGACACTTCTCAAGGATGAGAACATAGCTTAGAGTTCAGATTGCTTTTTAAAGAATTTTACTCCAAGAGCTACTGGGGGTATTTTAATTTTAGTTGGAGGCTTAATCACTATTTTCAAATCAAAGCCTCAATTTTAAGTCATTAGGGGTTTGGTGCTTTCAAAAACAGATTTGATTTTGCTATGATTTAATTTCTCTTTTTTGATATGCAAACACTGAATCATGTATTCTAAATGTTATTATTATTATTATTATTTTTGTCAAAGGAGAAAATTATGGAGTTGTTAAGAGGGATGAATTAATAACCTTAAAGAATAGAAAGGAATTCCTTAGAGATTCTGCTTGGTGTTCTGGCTTCACAAACTTTCCTTCAGTTTTTTTTGCACAAAGTTGCCTGGCATTTCAGAATAAGTTGGCCAAATCTTGTTATGATTTTCAGTACTTCTAGTTGCTAGAAATCCAAGATATCCAGGGAAGGGTAGACATGTTTGATATGGATCAGAGTAAAAAATAGTCATATCCATAAAAGTAAGTGCCTGATCATTCATTGGATACAACTGATATGAAAGTTACCTGCAAAAAAAATCAAACAAAAACAAACAAAAAACACAAAACAAATAAACAACAATAAAAAGAGTTACTATGGTGTATCATGAATCAGAGACTCCTTAGAGAGCAGTGGGTACAAGGATGGGTAGAATACCATTCTTTTCCTTGAACAGTTCACAGTCTAGTGGAGAGATGAAGATAAACCAATGGCTGTAATTCTGTGTAATGTGTCCTCTAAATGAGACCCACGGAGTTCTACCTGAATGCAGGAGAAGTAATGGATGTCTCTGAGGGACCTGTGCAGTCACAGAAGGTAAGTGGAACTTGGAGTAAGATGTTGGAAAATGAGAGGATTCCCCAGATACAGGTTGAGACAGGGCATTCCCATGGGCAGAAAAAGTCCCTCGAACATGTAAGGAGGTGTGAAAAGTGGTGCATGGACAGTGTCCTCAAAAGAATACTGAGAATGCAGAGAAAAATAAGTTTCATGTGTCTCCAAACTAGAAGTGTATTTGATTCCTGTTCTAGGAGTAGTGGATTCAGCTTATAAAAGGGACTGAATTTATGTGGTGTAATCAAGCAGGAGACTTGACATATAGGCTGATGATCTACAAATACCCCCAGTGAAATGATATGAATGAAGAATGGGGAATTGCATTCTCTAAAACAAGAGAAGAAATAATGGCCTGAGACAAAAGACAGTACTCTTTTTTTTTTTTTTAACGAGTCTTAAAAGCCTTCCTAATCTCAGAAGTATCTGGCCTGTGCTGCAGACTCCCTAGAGGGGCAGGGAACGGGGGAGCTTTTCTGAGATGTCCAAGGGCAGCAAAGTGAGCTATTGAGTTGTGGAAGAGAAAGAAGGAATCCAAGGAGGCCGTGATCTGTAGGCGAAAGGGAAGGAACAATGGTCTTCGAGGAAGCTGGAAGCTTCAACTTGGAAGAAGCTGTCCCTCCAGATACCTTCTCCCCACGACTGTGATTGGCGGTCAGCATCAGCGCAGCTACCCCAGGACACAGGGCCCAGAATTCCTCACTCCCTTGCAGGTAAGTGTTGTTCATTGAGCACCTCTTACAGTGGGTGCCATTTTACTCTCTTATTTATTTACTCCTCGGAATAGTTCTGAGGAGAAAGGAAACCCACAGAAACGGCGTAGGTTGAACGCTTGCTAAGTCTCCCAGGTGATGCCAAGTGGGGTCTGGTTCACAGCTCAGTGCTGCCCTCCAGTAAGCACTGTAGTGTTTAAGAGTGTAGCTCCCTGCCCCTGCGTCATGTCAGAGGCCCCTGAAGCTTTGGAAGGGGTCCACAGAGCTGCCCAATGTAAGAGGCTGCATCAGGCTTCGAACCCAGAACTCTTCCACTCCAAGGGCTTCACCTTGGTGAAGCATCTTAGAAGGGTCTGGCTCACCAGTTCCCCAGAGAGACTTGCTTACGGTCTTCTGGGAGATTTTCCTTAATAAAAAATGCTCCATTCACATCTGTCCCTGCAGGTGGCAGAGAGTCCCTGTAAGGGCTAACACATGACCACTGGAAGGGCATCCATTTTTCTTCCTTTCTTCAGTTAAGTTTCTGAATTGGATCCAGCTGTTCTTTGATGCAGAGGCCAAAAGACCCCAATATCCTGCTCTTTGTTTTCCTGAAAGTTATTGGCCATTGTTAACCATGAAGGTTAGGTTGGAACCCCTTAAGGAACTAAGCATTTGGCCAGTGGGTGCTGGGATCAAGGTCATGGTACAGCAGAGGTTGATGGCATTTCAAGATGAAGCCTCCATTCCAAGCCTGGCTAATGGCCTATGTGGACCTTGATGAGAAATTGTCTACAACTAGACCTAACAATGAAGCCGGCTGGTTATCCTCACTGTTGACTTAGAACAGATAACAATACAATAATCGTAATCATAGTTCTCATCAATTATCATTCCACGTTAACTACTGTGTGGATCTGCTGGTAAACATGTGTGTCTCCAGAATTTTATCTCTAACAGAGTCCTGTCTGTCTGCCCAGGATCTTGTACTTGGCACATGAGTCTTCTTTATCCTGTCTTTGAAATATTAATTCAGTACCCATTTTTGAGGCACAGAATTGGAACCTTAAGGTTAATGAACTTTTCCAATGTACTCTACCTAGTTAATGACCAAAGTGGGGGAACTAACAAAGAGACGTGTACTGAGAATCTCAGAGGGCCAGAAATCAGTTGCAATGGGAGAGAAAATAAAGGGACAGGGAGAAAAGCAAAGTGATTGGGAGAAATTGTCCACCTCTTATACCATGCCAGCATTACCCTTGGCTGCCTGTAGTGCTATTCCTGCATTTTTATCTTTTGGTTTTCACAGCCAGAGGGGGCAGATCAATTGGGGTTGGCACAATCCTACTCACGTCCAGAATGAATTGGGGTGACCAGATTTTCTACCCAAGAGCCACTTCAGTCCATACCCTTATGGATCAGTTTGGTCAGGATAAGAAACTCGCCCACAAAATTAAACTTGGAACTCAGAAGGGATTTTCATCTTGCAAATGTCAGATGTGCTAGAGGGGCCACTGGTGACTCACTCCCCCTTTCAAGGAATAGAGGTTTGACTCCCCGAGGAATAATGAACTTCAGCTCACTGGCGCCCAAGGAACTAGCACAATGGGCAGATGTCCGAACTCCACTGGCCACGTCCCAGATGCAAACAATAGAACGCTGGCCAACTTCGACGGAGGAGAGTCTCTGAAGCCATGGTATTGCTTTGGCGGGCCAAAAACGCATTAGGAGACTGCAGTTATCCACATAGTCTCACTTCATAAAGAAGGAAGGGACTGGGGAGGGACGTAACGTGAGCTCACATTCTGTGATGGAGCTGGAGAGAAAGTGCTCCTATATTGTGCCTCTTTGCCCTCTTCTCGGATGATGAATTGCCTCAGTTTTATGAAACGCTGGAGCTAGATCCCTTCAGGGTTAGGAGCACATGAATATTAATTGGTCCCAAATAAGAGGAGCAAGGCTTTGCTCATTGCCAGTCTGGGAGAGTCATCATCCTTGGTCATTTCCATGATCTTTATTTTAAAGGAGCTCTTTTGTTGTGGGAGAAATCCAGCATCAGACTGGGGAAGGAGATGTCTCTGAAGCTTTCTCCACCCATCAGTTATTTAGTTCTTTAAAAATTACATCATGTTATATAGGTCTGTAAAGACACTGGATTATCCAAACAGATCCTATTTCATGCACTCTAAAATGGAGGCAGATAACAAAATCAGTATAAGCACGTTTTAAAGTTCCTAGAAGTTTGTCTATTTGTGTATTTACTTTATGTAGTACTTTCACATATGTTATCTTCCCTCAAGATAAATAAAGCAGGTATTGTCTTTCCTCGTCTACAGGCAAAATCAGCCTATAATAACCATCTCGCCAGGGATAGATCACAATGAGAGTGGTAGAACTGGGCCTTTAACCAGGGTCTCCCAATTCCAGCTCCCCCATTCCCCCATTTTTATATAAGTCCTACCCAGTACATATGGACCTCTCCCTGCTTTCAACGGTCCATGCCATTTATATGGTTGACCTCGCCCATGACATCTTCTCCATAAACAAGAGCAGGAGGTGGGTGGAACCTCAACAAAATTGCATTTGCAAAATTTACCTGGGACCAAGCAGCAACTTTGGCTTTCTTGGATGTATGAAAACTTTGGGCACAAACCATTTGATTTAGAGGAGGGATATCCCTAACTTTAAAGGGGAGTAGAAATGCTAGGTGTAGGGGCACATGCCTGTAATCACAGTGACTCTGGAGCCTGCCTCAGCAGCTTAGTTAGACCCTAAGCAACTGTCTCAAAAAAAAAAATTAAAAATGTGTGTGTTTGGGGGGGGGGACTATAGCTTAATGGTTAAGGGCCCTGGATTCAATATCCAGTACCCCCCCCAAAGAGAGATGGGGGCATTAGAAATGATCTCATATGTAGAGAGGTGAGTTTTCTCTGATGAATGCATCTCTGTCAATCACACTAAGAAAATTAAAAACATTAAATGCAGATTCATTTGCCTGGGTAGGAACAAAAATACTTTAAAAAATCACATTAAGTCATTTATAGGGGTTTTTCTCAGAGCCACTGAAAAACCTATGCACAGTTAGTTCACTTGGGACATAATTTTGAAAACCAAGAAGACTTTTGCTAAATTAGGGGAAAATAAAACAGAACTCTCCCCTCAACTTCCAGAAGATTCAAGCCAAGCCTGAGTTCCGTCCCTCTTAGATTTGGAATGGGTTCTAAACTTGGCAAAAAGGCACTTGCCCATCCCTATTGGAAATCTCTCAGGAGACTTGGTTCCAGCTTTCCAAAAACTTGCAGCCCAAATATATTTGGCTTCACATCTGAACCTTTGTAATGTTCGACATCTATTAGAAATTACCACGTAAACTTCAGAAACTTAAAAATTAAGCCGAACTCTAATGGGCATATGAAGTCAAGCCGATAAGGTTACCACGTAACTTAAGCAGACACTGAAACCTGCCTGCAAGCCCGTGTGAAGTCTCTCTCACATTTTTTGGCATGGACTCAGAGATCTGTGGAGATATTAATGAGGAGGAAGAGGAGGGGCATCTCATTTTTCCCTACTAATCCATCACAGCCATGTAGCTGCTATGTTCTCCGACCTTAGAGCCCAGAGGTTCTGAAACCGGCAGAACAATGACCCCCTGTGAAATCAAGAGTTCTTTAAGAACAAGGTGATAATTTTTGTTAATCTGCATTAACCCAGTGAGCTAGTAACAGAATAAGAAAATTATGACCTTGACTTCACAAGAGATTGGCAGTCTCTTAGCGGGAAGCTGGAAAAACCCGGATAGGCTTGCTCACAAAGACGGAAAAGTGCTTACAGATCTGATAAGATATTAATCCAATTTGGAACTCTCTAGTGAACAGAGAGGAAGTAGCCAATCAGGAAGGTCTGATCTGGCCTAAAAGCCAAGAGGACCCTCAAAAGTGGCTGATGGACCTTGGGGTTGGTTGGTTTGCTTGTTTCTTTAAAGGATGCTTAATGCAGATACAGCTGCCTGCTTTGTTTTGGCCCTTGTCAACGTTGAGGGTTTGGTAGGCTTTGTTTGTGAATATCTGAGGCTCATGGAAAGGCAGTCTATGCAGTAACATGTGCTATATCCATTTGAGGCAACAGGAAGTATCAGGAAAGGGCTTGTGGCATCTGGGCCCAAACTTTCTGCTGCTTGAACAGCCGTGTGACCTTGGGATAAACAGCTTTGTTTCTGATCCTCAGTTTCTTCAATAATAAAGGATTACTATAATATCTTTCAGAGTGTCATTGTGAAAGTCCAATGATATACTATAGAGGCAATCACCTAGAACAGAGTGTGCCCTAGACTTACGTTTTTAAAAAGTCATTTAAATCTATGAGGGAATACAGATCCCTCTCTCTCTCTCTTTCTATACCCCTTTTTCTATCTTGCCATATGATGGCTTATATAAGACAACTGATGTAACTGGCTCTCAGGATGTTATTTCGTGATATTGTGCTAAGTATTAGACTCTTCTATAAACAGGATAGGCTTAACCTCAAAATCAAGGGAAAGAAGGAGATAATGTGTACAAATATATATTCATTTTTATTTTCTTCCTTCTCTTTTCCCTTCTACTGATTTCATGAAGCACCCTTCCTGCTGCCCTTAAATTTATTGTCATTAATTTTTCTTAAAAGATAAAGTGGCCAGTACTGGAGTACCATGATTAAAGTAAATTATTGGAGTCCTGAATTTAACTGAGAGGATACGAAGTCTCAATAGGACCTGTTTTTTGGTTCTGTGGATTGAACCCAGGGGTACTTGACCACTGAGCCACAACCCCAGCCTTTTTATTTTTTAATTTGAAACAGGATCTCACTAAGTTGTTTAGGGCCCTTGCTAAGTTGCTGGGGCTGGCCTTGAACATACAATAGATCCTCCTGCCTCAGCCTCCCAAATCACTGGAATTACAGGTGTGCACCCCGTGCTTGGCTCAATAGCAGTTTTTGACTAATGATGTCAGATCCCCTGAGATGCAGGTGTGCTTTTGCGGCACACAAAGCTTTCATGAGAGTAATGGAGAATGCCCTCTCCTTCAATTCCATGTCTCCCACCCCAAGAGAACTGGCCCCGCATTGTAAGTTCTGCTGTAAACAGAATAACACATTTTCTTACATTTTATTATATTTGTGTTTTCCAGGTATCATGGCAGCAAACTGAGTGATAACTAGAATTACAATAATTTTAAAGTACTGGAAACTATTTCTCTTAATGGAAATTCTACTTTTGGTTAAATGATAATGTTTAAGTGAACAAAACAAAACAGCAAAACAAAGTGCTGATATTTCTCTTTACAGATGCAGCTTTTATATCCTCATTCTTTCTGTCCCCCGTCCTTGTTGGCTTAGGAATGATTATTTTTCATGCATATTAACTCGGCTGGAATCATGAGCACTTCATTTGCTTCAGTGTCCTGTACAAGAAAAGTCATCCCATGCGCTCTCAGGGCCCCACAGATGAGGTTTCGTGACTCCGTTAATCCATAAACTCCTTGAAATCCTCCCAGGAAGCTTCAAGGAGAGGGTGTGCTTCACGGTGGTCTATTTGCCCCACGTCATATCCCCTGCTGGCCACTCCTTTGATTGGAAAAGAAAGTACCTACTGGAGAAGGCAGTTACTCTTCTTCTTTGGTAGAAATGTAGATATGTAGAAAATATCAGCTCTGATGCTTCTGATCAATTTATTGGTCACCATCTGATGCATCTGACCCTCCATATCCATGAGTTAGTTCTACACCTACACATAGAGGAGCAGAGATATTAGAGACAAAATTGTGTTTGTACTGAACACATATGGATTGTTTTCTTGTTCTTTATTCCCTAAACAGTGTGGTCTAACAACTCTTTGCATAGCATTTCTATTGCATGAGGTATTGTAAGTAATTTAGACATGACTTAAAGTGAAAGGGAAGATGTATATATGTTAAATGCAAATACTGCATAATGCTACACAAGGGACTTGAGTGTCCATGGGTTTGGTACCCACGGGGATCCTGAAACCCATCTCCCACAAATACTGAGGGACATCTGTAATCAGTGCTGATAGTTATTGGAGACTTCCTGGTGCTGGGCATGTAGCTAAGTGTGTGGTTGTGACGTGTTAATTTCAGCATCCTATCCCTCATGTTGTGATACCATTTTGAGGATGGGAACACTGACTCAAACATAAGGGAGATGAAAAGATCAATATTTTCCCGGAAGAATATTCTGCTGAGCTTACAAGTAAGACTGAATCTGAACATAAGACTTTAAATTGTTGATAATGCATTAGCCTATACCTGAGTATCCTGACCATCTAGTTAAGATTTGGGACTCAGACATTTAAAAACAAGGAAATGGAAATCGCAACAGGGATGGCTCATATATTTTAGTATGTCCTGAATGTGAATCGATACCCTGGTAGGTTTCTGATTCATTGCATACCATGAAGTGACCCAGGGGCCTTTCAGCACTCGGAGTGGCATCCAGCTTGCTTGCCTTGGCCAGGACGAGAAAACCACAGCTCACTGCCAAACTCAAACACACTCAGCAGAAGACCAAAGGAGCCCGGGTGAGAGAAAAGGCCTCGCAGCACTGACTCCATTTAGGAAGCTCTGGGACACGGAGGGGATAGTCTGTCGTGACTTCTGACACTGTGAACTACCACCCTGCTACTTCTCTTTCCATTTCGCACCTTCTTCAAATAGGAAGGGTAGAAAGGGAGAAAGGAAGTCTTGCCAGCACTCTGCCTTGGAGAAGGAAAATCTTACTTGAACCAAGGCACCCCTCGGCGGAGTCCAACTTGCACTTGCTTTGGTAACTGGTTAACTCTATTAATTGGCACACAAAAACTTGCAAGGTTGGGTGGGAGGAGGGACTAGCAATGCTTAGTGTGCAAGTTGAACGTGAGAGGGAAAAGTAGAATGAAATAAATGTATCTGTATCTGGAAGGTGGAAGAGCCTAGAGTAGAACGGTCCTAGCTGCAGAGTTCAGGGTTCTAAGGGCTGTTCGGAGCAGCATCTTGGGCCAGAAGTCCACAGCAGCCTCCTGCAGCGCTCTCGAGGCCCACTGCATCCACAAATGCTTTGGGTTTGCAGCAAACGTAGGCCTCCTCTGTCTTCTCCTGTTCTCTTGAATTAAAATCAAAGGATCACCAGGAGGGTTGACACTAAGTGGAAACTGACAAACTTACTTCTTGGTTTAAGCAAAGTGTTGAGCGATTGATGTTTGTCTGCCTATAAGGAAGGAAAGGAAAATACAGAGGACGAGAGGCCTGAGCTGGATCCCTGGGGGACATTGGGCGTCTCCACTGACCCTCATGCCTGGGACATGAGGGAGCACCGGCGTAGTGGGGGCCAATACCAGCCTTGTTTTTACTTATTTACTTATTTATTTTGTTGTCAGTGGACCTTTATTTTATTTATTTATTTATTTATTTATTTATATGCAGAGCTGAGAATTGGACCCAGGGCCTCACCCATGCTGGGCAAGCACTCTGTCACTGAGCCCCAGCCCCAGCCCCAGCCCCAGCCTTGTTCTTTTACATTTGTGCTTTGTCACACGGGCTTCCCTTCCAAAAACGTTTCTTCTTCCAAATGGCATCATCGTCCTCATAATAACATCAACAGCAGTGACATCTGCCGCCTTTTTATTGGATTTTAATTATGTGCCAGGTACAGCAAAAGGGGATTTGGAACTCGGCCACTAGCACCCCAGACTCCATCCTGAGACTGCTGGACTCCAGTCTTACCTCCATAATTCACTAGATGGGGGCCCATGGGCACATCGCTAGACCTCTATCTCTTTGCCAGTAAAACAGGTATGCTACCGTCACCTCCTGGCCTTACAAAGATGGAATAAATAACACAGAAAAAGAAATCTGCTTTGTGTCTCCTGTGGTTAGCATTTCATATATTTTATTATTATTTTTCCTTACTCTCAGTGTTTTATTTAATCCTCCCAATAACCCTGAGGGATATTATTAACCCCATTTTACAGATTACAAAGCAGAGGCTTAAAGACATGGGCTAATGTATCCAAGATTACACATATTGTCAGCAATGGAATTGGGGTTTGAATTTTCATCCCTCCCTATAATGACTTTTTTTGCTACTAGGTTACAATACCTGAAGTCCTATTCTCTGAACACATAAGTCAGCGCACATAAATCAGCACTGTGGCAAGAAGAACATTGTTCGCTTACTCTCCAAACAGTTTTCATGCATTATTTTAGCTATTTCACAAGAGTTCTATTCTATGTATCTTTTGTGTGTGTGTGACTTCAGAATACAGGAAGAACTAAAACTCTGACTACTACTATGAAATCTATAACTACAGGCTCCTGAAGAATGCCTGTCAAGCTCTGGTCTAGGAATACACAAGATGTTTGAAATGCTTTCTCTAGTGATAGTCATGAGGCTGACATTCAGCTCCTTCAAGTTAGCGAGATCCTTCTTGACTGTGTTAGCTTTCCTTTGCCCTAACAAATAACCTGAGGCGATTAGCTTATAAAGAGAAAAGGTGTGCTTTGGCTCCTGGTTGCAGAAGTTTCAGTACCTGACCTAAAGACCTCCCGCTAGGCCCCTCCTCTTAAAGTCTCCACCTTCTCCCAATATCACCATGCTGAAGCACAGCCTTTAACACGTGGACTTTCAGGGAGTATTCTAGGTCCAACCTGTAATTCTGTCCTACTTAAATTGGGGACATGACCTTTACTTTGTTGCTTCCCTTGCTTCTCTTACTTTTTTCCCCCCAACTACCTCATGTGCATTGTGCATGTCATTTACAGAGGGTCTCTCTCCCTTCTAGAAGGTTAGCTCCAGGAATAAATAAATTTGATCTCTGTTGTTCCCTGCTGTTGTGGAAGAGGGCTGGGCAGATGGAAAGCATGTGATATCTAACTTATGAACAAGTGGATATTTTCTCCCATTTTCCAGCAATTGTGAAGTCTAGGACCTGAGTCTTTGAGTGGCTCTACCAGTGACTATTTCTACCAAATGATGCTTGGACACCAAGACCCTGGAGTCTACATGGAGTCCACTCGTTATCCTCCCACGATGTACTTGTTATTCTCAATAGAACGGTGTTACTGAGGGTGATGACTGTGAGTGACAAACTGAGGGGCCATTCAAAAAGGATTGTTGAATATGTGCCACCCACAAAAATCTGGACAGCCCCTGTTCTGTTTCCACCCACGGCCACGTTCAAATAAACACCAGCCCAAGACTGACAGTCACCAAAGACTTGCTTATCTTCATTATCTGTCCAACATGGTATATTTTTATTCCACAAGCTACACAGTCCACGACTTTCTAAAATTGTCTGATCTCTCTCCATGCAGACATGCTGCCCATCAGCCAAGCCCCCTCTCAGATTTCCTGAAACTTCTCCCTACGCTTGCTTGCTTGCTTTTTTCCTCCTTTGTCTCCCTTTTATGATGCAGATGGAGTCTCTTCTTGGGATGTGAATTCACCCAGCAGCGCCCGGCTCCTATCAATAACCTCCTTATGCATTACACACATTCTCCCCAACAAGGGGTCAAGACCCCTGGGGGACCCTGAATTTGTGAAAGAAGACACCATAGTGATAGTGGTAGTTAACAGCATAGACATATTTTTTTCTTTAAACATATACACTGAAATCTATGAGAATGTCCTGAGCGCATCCTCTCTTCATTTAGGAGAATGCAGCCATTTGTTAGATCTCACCCATGGTTTGTGGCCACGGGCTTAGATATTACTCTGGGAGTGACAAAAATGGTTTGTGGACATAGTTCCAAAGAGGACTTCGGGGGCAAGTAGGAAGAAGGTTTGAAAGTAGCAGGATGGAAAGAAGATTATTAGTTTGTTTTATAATGTTCTCCTGTCTTAGAAAACTTAAAATGGTTTATGTGAGCACAGACTAACCTAAACATTTTAGCCTGTCAATCATAGCGTGTTTGTTGATCTAAGATGAACAGATAGTAAGAGAAGGAGTAGAGGGAAAAGTCTACCCCCAGCTCTGTTATCTTGGCATTAATTTCAGGGTTTTGTTTTCCAACCTGGCTAAATAACACTGAGAAAATAAATGCATGAAAGGGCATACGTGTGTTTAATGTTCTCTAATTTGTTTATGGCAGGGAATCATGGCTCCTCTTACTTGTCCCCCTGAACAACCTCTTTCCCTGTTCCATCCAGCTGCTTGGTGTTTCTGTCTGTGTTTTCTGTTTAGCAATTCTTCTATAGAGTTCTTAATTTGTCTACTGTTTTGTGAAGAAAAGGGAGGGATAGCAATGGGTGGAGAAAGCCAAAGGCACAGCTTCTGTCCAGGTTTTGATTCCTGGGATGATCTGGGATGGACGGAGCCCTGTGATGTGATCTCTGATGGCATCTGCCAGGCCAGAGGCACCATGTTGGTGTTCCTAAGGGAGATTCCATAGCTTCCATTCTTCAACCAAATCATGACCACATCCTAACACTCAAAGGGCTTGGCCATCCTCAACGAGGTGTCAATAAAGTTTGACAAACTTTGGAACTTGCATCAGAACGGATGGGTCCTATTCCAGGTCTGTCACCCTCTGACTAAGAGACCTCAGATGAGTCATTCCATTTTCTCTACTCTGAAACAACTGGACTAGATGACCAATGATTTGATTTATGACTCACTCTATAAAATGGGAATGACAGAATTTTTCCCTGATACACTGTAGAGGACATGCTTTCTTAGGGCAATATCACTCCCGGGGGAGAAAGCTGACTGTAATAAAGACTTCAGGTTCTGTTCTAACATTTGCTCTCACTGAAGCCCCAAGGATGACCTAGACAGGGCTCCCTGGAGAAGCTCTTCAGCTCGGGAGTGAAGAAAAGTCATCTGGGCTCAGTTCTGACCCCTTCACAGACAGCCGTGGAATTAAAGAGCCAGCACTCTTTCTGCCTGTTTCCGTTTCCTCGGCCATACGTGCTATAAAAATATTTTTAAAATTAAGTTAGTAACAGGGAAATTACAACAAAGACTGGCTTATCATTAACACTCAATATATATTGGCTGGTATTTTATGATTTCTGAAAGCCCTAGTGATTACTGATAAAAGACTACAGGAAGAAGTAAGAATGGAATTCACATGCAGTTTGATTCCCTCAATATAGAATGAGTACTTTCTATATTGTGTGACATTGTGGGGTGTAAGAGATGCAGAAAAGAGCAGCAGGTGGCTTCCAGCTTCATGGAAAACCGCAGGCATGGAGAACAACGGGTAAAGGACTATAGTAGGTAGAGCTGCAGGCGATGGCAGAGAGATTCCCAGAGAGCAAATGGTGTAGGGCCCACACAGGAGCCACCCCAGCACAGCCTGGTGACATCAACACAAGGCCCAGGTGCAGGTGCAACATTGAAACAGCTGCTCAGTTACACTGAAGTTTTGTAGCCTAAGGATTTTTCTGTGGCGCTTAGGAAATATGTGCAATGTGGCCACAAGTGTGAGCCCTACTCAGTCACTATGGTTGTGTCTCTAAGTCTATGGTTCTTAATTAAAGAGTATAAACCTAGACAACCCACTGTGGCTTTGAGGAAAAAGTACAGACTTCATTCTCAACCGAAGATTCTGTTCCAATTTTCACATACAAACACCTAGCACTCAGTAGTCCCCATAGAATCCGAAATGGTGGTTCCTATAGCCTCGGTGATGAACTTATCCAGAAGTAGTCAGATCCCTTTGTTACCCTGCTAAACCCCAAGCATGGCCTACAAATTGGGAAATCAAAGGAAAAATTAGGGGAAGGCAGAGAATTTGCAAGCCTCACTGCTGCTTCTTACTAGCAGGAAAGTTAACATATCAGCAGCAATATACATAGTAGAGAACATGTGCTGCTTGCCTTCCACCGTCTAAGTCACCCCAAACTCTCCCTTGTAATACACTAACCAGAGTCTTTCAGCAAAGAAGGGTTGCCACATAAAATGCAAGACACACAGTTAAATTTGAATTTCAGATTAACAACAATCATTTTAACATTAGTGTGTCCTTAATGTTGCACGGGACATACGTGTATCAAAAAAGTATCCATGGTTTATGTTAAATTCAAATTTAACTGAGTGTTCTGTATTATTATTTGCTAAATCTGATTCCCCTAAAAGGAGGGAAATCTGGGATGATAATACAGTCCAGTCACGCTGACATATCAAAACCCCTTAGAGCATGGATGAGATTCATAGACTGTGATTATGTTGTCCACATGTACAGAGTTACAAGGTTGGAAAACAGCCGATGATGTCCTTCTAGAGCTACCCCTTTAGAAGGATTAGTTGATAAGGAACTCTCCCTTTACAGGAGACATGGGTTCAGGTTCAAGTAAACACGTGTCAAGTGCCCAGGAAACGTCACCGTGGTCCAGGAAGATTGACCCTTGAAGAAACGTCTTTGCTCAGAGAAGGCACACAATTACCTGAGGAGCCTTTTCAAAAGCACAGCTGTTGGGTCTGATTCCAACACCAACAGGAAAAGAATCTTCAGGTTGAGAATGAAGTCTGTACTTTTTCTCAAAGCCACAGTGGGTTGTCTAGGTGTGTACTCTTTAATTAAGAACCGTAGACTTAGAGGCACAGCCATAGTAACTGAATAGGGGTTCTGTAATGTCTCACGTTTGTGGCCACATTACCTATCTTTCCTAAGCTCCACAGAAAAATCCTTAGACTATGAAACTTTAGTGTAACTGAGCAGCTGTTTCAGTGCTGCACCTGCGCCTGTGCCTTGTGTTGATGTCACCAGGCTGTGCAGAGATGGCTCATGTGTGGGTCTACACCATTGCACTCTGAGAATCTCTCTGCCATCACCTGTATATCTACACACTGTAGTTCTTTATCCACTGCTCTCTATGCCTGCTTGTTTCCTGCTAGTTTATCGCAGGTCTCACTGAGTTGCTTAGGGCCTCACTATGTTGCAGAGGCTGGCCTTGAACTTGCTATTCTCCTCAATCTCCTGAGTTGCTGGGATTACAGGCAGGCACCACCATGTCCTGCTCAATCTTGCCTTTAAAAAGAATGTCAGTTTAAACCCCCAGAGTCCAACGGTGCAAATACATCTTCTTGAAAAGATTTGGGTTTCTCAACCTTACATCTATCAACCTTTGTATCTTTTAACTGATAAGAAGTTTCTAGACAGCTAATGTAGGCGATTAAAAGCATTCTCTTTCATTTAAGTTAATGCAAGGGGGAAGCTTAAAAGTAACTCTGAAAAGTGAATTTGATTGTTTTAATAAGACAGAACATTTTACAATCTGTCAGAGTTGCATTTCCCCCTATCTGATTGACTGTCAGAGCAGAAGGAGGAAGCAAAACAAAAATCACACCCTGAAACTGACAGCAATAAATGAAGAGTAAAGAACCTGCAATAAACCAGCAGAAACTACTTTGAAAGTCCGGTGCCGGGGCCTTAGTCTACTTTCTGTGGCAGTAACTGAACACTGGGGCAAACAATAGAGTTCTTCAGCTCATGGTTCTGGGGAATGGGCGGTGGAAGAGCCTGGTGCCGGCACCTGGGGGGCATGTGATGCTGCCTTCCTGCTGCACAACTCCGGAGGGCATCGCACGGAGGGACGGAGAAGGCATGCATCAGCTCAGGTCTCTCTGCCTCATCCTGTAAAACAGGGCGTCCCTTCTGTGGGTTCCCATCTGGATGACCTCATCTAGTTCCAGTGATCTCCCCAAACCCCCACCTTCAAATACCATCCGCATATGAATTAGGGAATTGAGTTTCACAGGACTTTTGGAGGGGACATCCAACCACGGCATGTGGCAAGAGATCATTGCAAGTTTTCACCAAGCTGTTGGTCAGGGCCCAGTGTTCATGCCTCTTTGCAGTCTCACTGTATCACCAGGTAGCACTGAGGCCAGAACCTGTGTGCAATGAGGAACTGAGAAAACAGAGGTGAGGAGAGGTTCCGATAAACTGGACCTTCCTCTCAGATTTTGTAGGGAGGAATCAAAGGAAACCACGACAGTGGGAGTAACGGTGGAAAGAAACCGGAAAGAAGGACTCTGCTCCCCATCAGTCCTCCACTCTGTGTCTGTCACTGCCCACAGACAGGCAGAGGGCCATCTTCACTGCCAACAGCATGCACTTCCTCCTCTTACCAAGGTGGGAAATGACCAGCGTCTATGTGGAGGTGCCTGGTCCAATTGCTGTCCAAATTGTAATTGCTAAATACCAACTTCTTGGTTAGTTTCTAATCTGACTTGCTTTGTCCACATCTTCCAAATCAGCCTAGATC